TGAAGGGCTGGCTCCGCCCCTGGTTCTTATGCATTCACAAATCGTTGGTTTGATGCTATATTGAGTGAATAACAATTTATTTAATATATTTTACACCATGGATAGTCTTTTGCATACGTTGTATAAATTAAGGAGTTTGTTGAAAATTTATGGCTAAATGCAGGGAGGACTTCATGGTGCCACCTAATTTTAAACCTTATGAATTAATGCCTTTATGTTATATTATATATGGTGCCCGTTGTAATCGGTTTGTAACATGCTTTAGGGTAAAGTTGACGATCAACATGGTTGGAAGGTGCTTCAAACTGAGAACTTGGCGAGGCTGAGATAGATGCTCCAACTTCGTAAAGAACAACTTCTGCAAGGTTGACTGCCCATTAGTCTTAGTTGCACAATAATATTGGTTGCAGATGGCCTCTACTTCTACTAACAGCACCTTATCTGATTGATTATTTACAGGGAAGGCTAAGATTGGGAAGATGTCTCGTGATCTTCAAGTAAAATATGAGTTGCTTGAATTAGCAAGTAATACGGTATTACTATTTTCTTCCTTTTCGACTGCTGATGGTTGATTCGACTGCAATGTTTTTTCTCTAACTCTTCTTTCATTCTGGAATTCCTCAAGCCATTATTGTAGTTTTCTTTGATAGCTTATCTAAATTATTTTTGTGGTACCACGGCTTGGGATGCCGTTGGTCACCGCAAGGTACCTGCTGAGTGCAATTTGGTTTCACCACCGAGGCTTCGTCCTCCAATGGGCGTCAACATTCGTTTCGTGGCTTCTGGTTGTGGTGAGAATATATTTGACAACTTTGTTTTGTTTTAAGTATTTATTGGTTTTCATTCATTTTGATGAAGTGGTACTTCTTACTAAAATGACTTGAAAGGAGGTTCTTGATTTAGTTTTATTTCTTCTTAGGTTTAGTTTGTTTGCACCATTTTTGAATTGAATGGGTATTTGCTTATCCTAATGTGCTAATATGGAATGTAGCGTCTTTCCATTGTGTGGGCGCTGCTACACATGGCGTCGTAATGAGGCATGTTAAGTTGCTAAATGTGGCTATTATTTGTTTCTATCATAGTGCTGGTCCTTCCATTTCTTCGTTTTTATTGCATTATCAATTAAGCAGATTCACAACTGTAACATGCGCAGAAGGGACAGCTTGGTCATGGAGATACAATTCAGCGTGATAGACCAACAATTGTTTCAGAATTGATCAAGTCAATTGTTGTGTTCTTTTGTTTCCCTTTTGACTTAGATGCAGTAGTTACTAAAATTAACCATTGAACCTAGGTTTGAGCTCGAGGTTACCATTGTTGATTCTTAGAGTTGCCTTGCTTTTATTTACGTTTTTATGTTTTGTTGACATTTTGTCATGCTGCCCTAACGGAATCTTAGAAGTTACTTTTCTATGTTGAACGTCTCCCACTAATGGGCTCAAGTCTTGTAGCACAATTGTCATACAAGTTTTGCTATT